CAGGAGTCCATCTAAGTAGGTCAGATAGAAAGGCACACCAAGCGTGTCTCTGAATCTCATGGTGACGTCTCCACCATGCTCATATGTCATGGGACATACGACCGGGACCCAACCAAGAACGGTCGTGCAACCGTGCCTGCGGCGAATGCGAGCCATGTATCCGTTCTGACCGTCGCCGAGCTCTTGGGCCGTACAACTCCCCTCAACCATGGACCACATCCCCTGGTCAGCCGTGGAGTCATAACCCGCGCACACCATCTGACGCTCCTCCTCCCTTATCTTCTCCCAGCAGCGCTTTGCGTGTTCAACCACCAACACGTGGTCCTTTACATTCACATTGAAAATTGAGACACGTGCTAGAACCACGAGGAATTGTCAGTGCTCCACAATGCCTGCATGCATCCATCCCAATGGGAGCCAATGCCCTGATTGCAGTCTTGCTGTCATCGTCACCTTGCCATCAACCACTGCAGGATGCAAACATCATGGGACCCAATTGACACGATAGCCATACTTTTCAGGGGCCATATGCTGTTGCAACTGTCCTTCAGGGATGACACGGACCCCAATGTCCATGGAAGACAGCACGCCACTCCTCATTGTGACATGGTCCCATATGTGCGAGCATACTCCATCATACGTGGTTTGCCCTCTTGCATGCGTGTATGTGCTGCCATCCTCACCAGTGAAAACTTTTCCTTCAACCACCTCCGACTCCACAGGGTTCCGAAGCGGCAGGAAAAAGCAGCCAGCAGTATGGGTAGGACATGCCATTGCCTTCTTCTCGTCTTCTGATACCTCTCTGTCGAGGTGCCTGAAGGAGAAGTTGTCATTCACATAATGCGTGGTCCAGACATTTCCCATGGCATCACGCATCATCATCCTCACACGGCCACATGGAATCGGGATCACACATGGCACCCAACCCCACCTAGAATCCCTCCTCGCATCGCTCTCGTGGCACGTCGTAGGACCTGTTGCGTCGTTCCCGCCAATCACCCATGTCTGTCCGCAATCAAAACTGTCGTACAAAAAATCGTTCAGCCTGAACTCGCCCTGCGCCTCCAGAACACGCCACATGTCCAATGCATATCGCCCTTTCAGCTCTGTTGTTGCCCCATCGTCCAACCTTAATATTCTGTCAAACACGATTGACAGAGTCACGTTTCGCCATGTATTCTTTTTGGGGGCAGGAAATGAAACCCATGTCCCTTCGACTTTAAACGCAAAGCAGGGTGTTCCTCCAACAATACCCGGTTGAACACGACCCGACACCCAGTTGATGTCATAAGGGTACTCTTCTCCTGCTGATGTCTTCACCACATTTTCATCTTTCATAATACACCCTGTTAGAGATTCCCTGCTTCCCATACCTCCCTCCTCTCTCTCTTCCCCAACAGTTTCCGTCTCACAAGTACTCCCTCCTGCATCATTCTCTGTTTCATCACCATCACCCATCATCTCTGTGGTCTGTGCACATATTGTCGCAAGCACCTCTGCACATTCTGCGTTGTTCCCGCCAACCGATTTCCCTTCCTTGCTGCCATCTGCACCCTTCAGAATGTCCTCTGTCTCCATGGTGCATGTCTCTCCGCCGTTGACAGTCGATGCAATCGCGGGTTCCATCTATTGCATGAGACACCACATACATTTATGAGAACACGTAGTTGCGACATGGCCCCCTCACCCGAGAGAGAGAGGGAGAGAGAGAGAGAGAGAGAGAGAGAGAGAGAGAGAGAG